TCAGCACTCCCTGACCTCTGTGTGTGTGGGCTCCAGGAGTGCCATGTGCTCTCAACCTGAAAGTAATAAAATCTTTATTTCTATTTTATGTCTCTCCTAATCATTCAAAGTGTGCTCTCTATCTTAAAAATCCTAAATTTAAATAAACATATCTATTAAAATGGGCAAAATAGGCCACACACATGCCTGTAATCTCAACACTTTGGGAGGCTGAGGCAGGAGGTTGACTTGATCTCAGGAGTTTGAGATTAGCTTCTCCAACATAGTAAAACCACGTCTCTGCAACATGAAAAAAAAAAAAGAAAAATCAGCCAGGCCTGGGGCAGATGCCCACAGTCCTGCTGCGAGTGGTTGGTGCCCCACCCTACTTCCAGCATTGAGGTGGGCAATTCACTTGAGCCCAGGGAGATCAGGCTTCAGCGAGCCTTGATTATGCTACTGAATTCCAGCCTGAGCAACACAGAAAGACCCTGTCTCAAAATAAACAAACAAACAAAGTAAAATAAAAAAATAAAGAAAACACTGGAAAGGATGTAGAGAAACTAGGTCATTGATACATTGCTGGTGAGAATATAAAATAATACAGATGCTCTGAAAAACAGTTTGGCAGTTTCTTTAAAAAAGAAATATGCAACTACTATGTAACACAATAACTGAACTTCATTCATCTAGTCCAAAGAAATGATGACTTGCATTAATATAAAAATTTGTACATGAATTTTTACAGTAGCTTTATTTATAACAGCAAAAACTGGAAACAAACTATTAATATATGTCCTTCATTGAGCAAATGGTTAAGCAAACTATAGTACATCCATACAATGGAATATAATTTTCCACAAATTTCTAGGAAAAATTGGATAGAATGGAAAAAGATAAGACAATTAGGATACAAATCAGAATACATGTCATCCACAGGTTGTGGTTATAGAAATGAAGAATGCTAACTGTCAGTGGTGCAACCAGAAGCAAAACTACAGTCACAGAGTAGATATGGAGGCTGAAGGAGAGGTGGGATGCTTCTTGTTTAGGAAAATGGGTGGATATTGACCCTAATTTCTGAAATAGGAAATGCTATAGGAGTAAAATTGTTTTTAGTGGATGATAAATTTAGGTTTTATTCATGTTAAGTTTGAAATTGTCTTAGTCCATTTGTGCTGTTGTAACAAAGTACCATAGACTGGGTAATTTATGAAGAACAGAAATGTATTTCTAACAGTTTTGGAGGTGGGAAGTCCAGGATCAAGTTGCCAGCAGGTTTGTTGTCTGGTGAAGGTCCAGTTTCTGCTTTCAAGATGGCACCTTGAATGCTGTATCCTCCAGAGGGGAGGAATGCTATTCCACATGGTAGAAGGTAGAAGGGCAAAAGAGGAACTCTCTCTGCCAAACCTTTTTTATAAGAATACTTCATGAAGGCAGAGCCCTTTACAACTTAGTCACGTCCCATAGGCCACACCTCCCAATACTGTTGCATTCAGGATTAAGTTTCAATATGAATTTTTGGAGGAGACAAAAACCTACTGCCAGCCTCCACCTCCAAATTGGGGATTACAATTCAACATGAGATTTGGCAGGGTGAGGCAGCAAAGTATTGTATAAAATGCTAAGTGGTTTAGGTACTTATCCTCTTGAAGCCAGACATGTGCTCACTAATATGGTAGCTCCTAGCTATGTACACCACAGCAGAAACTGTGGAGGGCATTCTAGTAAGGCGTAGGTTAGGCAACTAGCTACACAAGCAGTCTCTAACTAACAATGGTTCCACTTATAATTTTTTTTTTGAGACATGAGTTTCACTCTTATTGTTCAGACTGGAGTGCAATGGTGTGATTTCAGCTCACTGTAACCTCCGCCTCCCAGGTTCAAGTGGTTCTCTTGCCTCAGCCTCCCAAGTAGCTGGGATTACAGGTGCCCACCACCAGTCCAGCTATTTTTTGTATTTTTAGTAGAGACGGGGTTTTACCATGTTGGCCAGGCTGGACTCAAACTCCTGACCTCTGTTGCTCCACCTGCCTTGGCCTCCCAAAGTGCTGGGATTACAGGCAGGAGCCACTGTGCCTGGACTACTTAACAATTTTTTGACTTAATGATGTATTTATTGGGACATAGCCCCATCATAAATTGGGGAGCATCCTGAATTGTGGAGCATAGGTTTGGAGGAGTCATTCTCCAGGAGCTTGGGGAGAGATGCATAAGTCATAATGTGGATCTCTCTTTACTTCCTTAAAATAAGTGCCTATAAGTAAATTGCTTCTTCAAAAAGTATGAATTCTGTGAGGACTTACCAAATTTCTTCCTCCTCTTCCTACCACACACACTCCCAAGTGGCCCTTATGATGCTACTGATGGGCATGTAAGATACTCTACAGGTTAGTTGGAGCCTTTGTGTGGTGGCTCACGCCTGTAATCCCAGTAGTTTGGGAGGCCGAGGCAAGTGGATCACCTGAGGTCAGGAGTTCGAGACCAGCCTGACCAACATGGAGAAACCCATCTCTACTAAAAATACAAAATTAGCCAGGCATGGTGCTGCATGCCTGTAATCCCAGCTACTTGAAAGGCTGAGCAAGAGAATCCCTTGAGCCTGGGAGGTGGAGGTTGCAGTGAGCCAAGATCACGCCATTGCACTCCAGCCTGGGCAACAAGAGCAAAACTCTGTCTTGAAAAAATAATAATAATAATAAATTCATTAGTTGGGAGAGAGATTTCAGAATTATATCCCCTTCTATGTAAAAATTGCAACAACCCTCTGCCTTACTTGAACAGATTTGTAAATATTACATGGTAGTACATATCTGTGTCAGTACAGTTCCAGGCAGGAAAACAAATCATTCAAAGTATTTTAAACAGACACAATTTACTATGGAGAAATAGTTAAGCAGGTATTGAAGGCTAAAAGACCAAAAAGGGAGAAGATTGAATTAGAAATTTTAAACTTCAGGATGGCTACCAGTCCTTGAGCTGGTGGAACAGAAGGCAGAAGTAGTATTATCATAGCAAAGAGCAAACTCATTGTTAAGGGTTTCACCCTCTTAAGGTGAAGAAAAGAGGTGCTCTAGACTTTGTAATGGACATAGGCATTGCTCTAGATGCCAGTAGCAGAGCGTAAAAGAAATGGACAATAGTTTTCCCATGTTCCACCTTTTGATTTCCTTCCTGTGCCTTCAGTGGGCAGAGTCTTACAGGAAACCATCTAACAAAGAAGGCTGGGAAATGTAGTCTGTGTACTCCCTGCCTAGCCATCATCTCGAAGCAAAGGGTAGGTGAGTATGGGGCTCAAAGATTACAGGCAAATAACCTGCATAGCACCTTAACAGGAAAAAAAAAATCCTCTATTTGATAGTAAAGGCCGTAAAGAAAAATTGACTTATTTCGTAGTTAATCTTTGATGAACTCTATAGACTCTAGGGCTTATCACGGTGCTTGCAATATAAAATGTTCAATCAATATCAACAGATATTTAAATGAATAAATGCCTATTCTTACCATTGGTAAAATTTATATCAGTATTCAACTGATTGGCAGGTAATACAATTGATTTTTAAAGAAATACATTTTAACTCATATAGACATTAATGTTTTACAGCATCCAAATAGTGCTGACATTACTCAAGGAATTTAGAAATACTTGTTCAAAATTGCCTTTCAGACCTAGTTCTTGAGAAATACATTATAATTATTTTTATAAAAGTGGGCAAGGACCAGTGGAAACTAGTCCTTGCCCACCTTTGGCCCAGCCTGACTCAACTGGTTTTAATCTGGATGATTTAATATTATTTTTGAAAATTAAATCCACTCTCAAAGAACAGACTTGTTACTAATTTTGGTAAGTACTTACCACGACTTCCAATTAAACTTGAGGCAACATGATGTTTTAGTACACTTCCGCCGCGATGGCAAATGTGGTGGATAATAATCGTAATAACTCAAATAAGACTTTGGCCTTTGCTACCTTCCTTTGAGGAGAGAATCACCACCTCCTAGCCCTCACCCTTCATCATCCATCCCCGAAATTATTTCCGAGTAATTTCAGGAAGCTATGTGTTTCCTCACCACTTGGGTTATTTTCAGTTAAGACAAATGTACAAGCACAAAAAGGAGTCCCTTAGCTTCTGACTCCTAGGACATAACCCAAGACACACTTTACTGTCACACACTCATTTCCCTAAACGGAAACAGCTCTATGTGCCACGTTCTGTTTTTCCTTTCATTCACAGCTCTGTGAGGTAGTGATTACTCCTACCTCACTTATTACTCCCAGTTTACCGATGAGAAGACTCAGGCTCAGGAAGGTGGTTAACTAGCCAAGGCCACTTGGCTAGGAAGTGGGAGACCAAGGTTCACTCCTAGGCAATCTGGCTTAAGTTTGTGTTCTCAGTTAAAACAAACAAAAAAGTTAAAGGTATCTGGCAATTGTTTAAACAATTCACAGGAATTGTCATCTGTGTAATCAATTGAAAAGGGAGCCGGGGGCGGTGGCTCACGCCTGTAATCCCAGCACTTTGGGAGGCTGAGGCAGGTGGATCACGAGGTCAAGAGATCGAGACCATCCTGGTCAACATGGTGAAACCCCGTCTCTACTAAAAACACAAAAAATTAGCTGGGCATGGTGGCGCGTGCCTGTAATCCCAGCTACGCAGGAGGTTGAGGCAGGAGAATTGCCTGAACCCAGGAGGCGGAGGTTGTGGTGAGCTGAGATCGTGCCATTGCACTCCAGCCTGGGTAACAAGAGCAAAACTCCTTCTCAAAAAAAAAAAAAAAAGAAAAGGGAATCAACACTTCGGAAACAGTGTGATACACCAAGGGAGTCTGATACCCTGAGAGGCAGAGATAAAGGAGAGGTCGGTGACTGTCCTCCTTCCGACCAGCTCAGATCATCCCATCCCGAGGCGGCCTAGAGGCCTGAATACCCTTGTAGCGCTATAGACCCCTTTGTGTCCCTTCATAGTGGCGTCAGATCGCGAGCGTACGGAAGGAGGCGGGACTTCCGGGCCAAGCGAGCCTATTCTTGCCGCGCCGGAAGTACCTACTGAGGAAAGCATGGTGGTTACTCTGTTCTTAAGGTCCCGGTGAATACTGTGTTCCACAGACTCGGAAGAAAAGTTGGACAAGCGTTCACTGGCGATTGACAAATATTCGAGGTAGTTAAAAACAGCAGTTGGAACATGGATAGCCGATTGCAGGAGATCCGGGAGCGGCAGAAGTTACGACGACAGCTCCTCGCGCAGCAGGTCCGCGGCCCTGGTGGTCCCCGTGGGAGGGATCGCGAATACGAGTGCGCGGTCGCCTCCTACCTCCACACCCCGCCTTAAGGCCTTTCTGGTCCTGCGATCCTGATCTCTGGTTCTCCCTTTCTTGTTCTCAACTTTCGCGGTGCGCCGAATGTTTTTCTGTTTCCTTCCGCGGTCTTTGTTATGCTAAACCGAATGCTAAGATTGGTCTCGAATCTGTGGAACGCCCACCAAGTGTCTGGCAAGGATGTACGCTTTGGTCTTCCTAAATTACCGCAGTTCACGCCAGGATGAGTGGCAAGTTATCCCCTACATTTCTCTTCACTGTTTAAATCATCATCTGTTTCTTACTTTTCCTCGTCGTCAGCACCAAATTCTTGAGATTGTGGTTTCATTGTGAAATACGTTTGTAGTATTTGACGTCTTTCTTAAGACTGCACTGGAAGTAGCCTGAGTGTAAATTTTAGATTCTGCATGTTATGTACGGTATCCTTGTCACACAGTTAATATTTGAAATCTTACTCTGTGTTAGTCGCAATAATCTCCTGAAACAGGTAGTGTTTCTTAAACTTAACAAATAATGAAATAGGCTCCATAGGTTAAGGAATTTTACTCCTGGTCGCTCACTTCTCGGCTGGGCAATACAACCTAGGTTTGTCTCCCCAAAGCTTGTCTTCTAAACCATTGTCCTTGACTGCTTCTTGTATATGAGTAAGTTAACATTTGCCGATCAGTAGGGTATACATGAAGAATACAGACTGTGCACAGTTCTACTTAAAATCGAGGCTATATTTTCCATTCTACCATTCAGATTAGTAAAAGTGATTAGAAGAAATGCTCATGGAGCGTAATTGGTCATCTTCCTGTTATTTTTCAGTCATGAAACTTGGTTTTAGTAAATGGAATTCTGAAATCTATGATCTGATGAACAGATTTATGGTATACTGCTGAAACAATGGGAACTTGGAATCACATTTTTCCCTTGTCCCTCTGGCATTGTAATCCTGGACAAATCAAGTATCTTTTCTAAGTCTTATTTTCCCCAACTTCTTCAAAAATGTTCAGTAGCTCTTTGTTGCTACCACAGAAGATGTTTTACTCCTTAATATTGAATTCAGACTTCTGTTTGACTCAGGATACATTCATAGGACAATTATTGAATGTTTTACACTCAACAAATTGCAAGGGGCTCTAGTAGGCATTGGCAAATGAACTACAAGTAATAGGTAGCCCCTATCCTTAAAGAGCTTAAAAAGTGCATAAAGTTTAATGATGGTTGCCATTTTTAAAGTCTCTTCTAATTATGTGTCAGACTTTAAGATTTTTACATACATTATCTTGCATCCTACATATCAGATTGTATCAGCATTTTATTGATGAAGAAATTAAGCTCAAAGAATTTAAGTTACATGCCTAAAGCCAAAAAGCTGGTAAGTTTGCAAGCTGCAATTTTTAACTTAGGCCCTATCTTTATTAGTACATCTATCTGTCTGCTGGTCTTCTAGTTGGACATGAACCATTCTGCTTTAGTAAGGATGCCCAATATAATCAATGACAAACATCCTCTTCCTCTTTACCAATTAACTTCAGCCTCTCTTTCACTTACTTTTCTGTTTATGATGAACATGGCAGACTGGTTTATTACTCTCCAGAACACGCTTTGTGCAGTATACCCTTTATGATGTTTGAAATTGTTCTCCTTCCGTTCTGAATTCCTTGTAGCTTCCATGTCACAGCTTACAACATAGTGATGAAATCTGTCCCGATGACCTTGGCTTAGGCTCATGCTTTGAGCTTTCGTTGTCCTTATTGTTGAGTCTACTACTATATATCGTTTGTTAATTGTCAAACAGAATACAAACTGTTCGGGTGCAAAGTCTTTGCATTTGACTCCTGTTGGGTTAATCTTCTATCCCAGCATTGGTTCTTGCACAAAATAAGCTTTTAATAAATGTTTGTTGATTGATGAAATATCAGTGTAGAGCACAACTCAGTGTGTATAATTTGCTTTGGTCTGCTGGATGAAGACATTGGATGCATTAGGTAGGCCCAGACCATGATGTTGGCAATTGGATGCTATCACCAGCAACTTATACCTGCCTTTTATTTCAGCTTGTTTTGTTTTATGAATTAGTTGCACTCTACTTAGCCTTATCTTAACCATTATTTGTTCACATTTGTTAACTTCAAAAGATATCAAATTGTTATAATTATTCAGATAACGTGTTTAGCGCCACCATAACCAAAAAAAAAAAAAAAAAAAAAAGTTGGCCTGTGAGAAGACAGTTAAACATGTAAGCAGAATTATGATTTAATAATTTCTCCTGTGATACATTGTATCCTAATTGAGACCCTAGTAGGAAATATCATTTGTTCATTCAGCAGATATTGATTAACATTTACTGTTAGTCAAGTGTTATACTAGTTGCTGAACTTATAGGCAGGGTCTTCCTCTAGGGATTTTACATTTTATTGGGGAGAAGTGAACAAAAACTGATAAAATAATTGAAGTATGCAAATAAAATAATTGAAAGTTGTGACTATGAAATAAACAATATAAATAGAAAGTAAAAGATAAAATAATTTAAAGTTGTATTAAGTGCCATGAAATTGATAAGGAAGCAAGGTAAAAAGGAGAATAATGGAAGGGAACTGCCTATCCATACATTTATGGAAAAAAATCTCTGAGTAAATAACGTGTACTCATCTGAGATAGGAAAAGAAAGGAGTCAGTTACGGGAAGAAGTTAGATAGCATTCCAACTATAGGAAGTAGGTCTGTTGTCTCCTGACTAAGGAGAAAAGGAGTGAGGAAGAGTTTATGGAGGAGTTGAAATTTCAAGAAGAGTCGATATATTGGAAGAGCTTTATCATTGGGGAAACCTGAGGGGAGTCATATTGTGTGGGTGGACTACAAGGTTAGTGGATAGTTGTTTAAGATCAAGGCTGGTGACTTGCTAGTCTGATATTTTAGTATGCTTCCTCCCTTTTCCTGAGGTAAATGGACTGTTTAATACAGATTTCTTCATGCCCTTCTTGTGCTTAAAATATGTGTATTTAGAGATAAGGTCTTGATCAGTCACAGGCTGGAGTGCAGTTATGTGATCTTGGCTCACTCCAACCTTGAGCTCCTGGGCCCATGTCCTTAAAAATATTAAATGATTCCTCATGGCCTATAAATTGCATTCTACATTCTGGTCTAGCTTTTAAAGTTTATTTATGAATTGGTTGCACTCTACTTAGCCAGCCTTATCTTAACCATTATTTGTTCACATTTGTTTGTATTTTGCAAAATTTTCCCAACTGCCAAACAAAATTTATGTTACCATTTTAAGGTAGTAAAGTTCAGCATTGTGTCTATAAATATTAAGACTTAGCTTCAGTAAAACTAGATTTTTTTATTAGAACATACAATATAAATTACATTATATGAGCTGATGCCTACAAAATGATTAACGTAGCACCCACAACCCTATGCAAACACTGTCTTAGCTGCCTTTTTTTTTTTTGGTTATTGCTACTGCAGGATGAATCTCTTTTATCTGAAATGCTTGGGCCAGAAGTGTTTTGGATTTCAGACTTCTTTTCAGGATTTGGATTATTTGCATATTACTTACTGGTTAAGCATGCCAAAACTCGAAATCTGAATGCTTCAGTGACCATTTCCTTTGAATGTCATGTTAGTACTCAAAAATTTCCAGATTTTGGAGCGTTTTGGATTTTCTGTTTTGGAATGCTCAACCTGTACTAAATCATGTTTATTACTTTATAGGAAATTGGCTAAAGTGACTTATTTTCAAATACAGATTGCCCCAGACTTACTATCATTTGACTTAACAATTGACTTTATGATGGTTTGAAAGTGATAGGCAGTCGGGCGTGGTGGCTCACGCCTGTAATCCCAGCACTTTGGGAGGCCAAGGTGGGCAGATCATGAAGTCAGGAGATGAGATTATCCTGGCCAACATGGTCTCTACTAAAAATACAAAAAAATTAGCTGGGTGTGGTGGCACACACCTGTAGTCCCACCTACTCAGGGGCTGAGACAGGAGACTTGTTTGAATCCACGAGGCAGAGATTGCAGTGAGCTGGGATAGTGCCATTGCACTGCAGGCTGGGTGACAGTGTGAGACTCTGTCTCAAAAAAAAAAAAAAAAAAAAAGAGTGATAGGCATCCAGTCTGCTTCTTGACTTGATGTTATGGTGGAATTGTGTCCCGATAAATCCATTATAAGTGGAAAATATAAGTTGAAAATGCATTTAAAACATTTGTTTTGAAACAGATTTACTTTCAACTTACAATGGATTTATTAGGACATAACCTCATCATAAATCAAAGAGCATCTGTATAACTGAAAGCATAACATGCTTTACCAGCTGTCAAACTCATTCTTAATACAGTTTGTTTCCAGGTTTTTTCCAGTTTGTCTTGCAAACTGATTAATTGATTTTGTGTGTGTGTGTGTGTGTGTGTGTGTGAATTAAGGTGTTTTTGATTTTTAAATATTTAATATATCAAATGCTGCTACAAATGCTTAGAAAGGCTATCTAATGCATCGTGACCTAATTTCTGATCTTGCCTTTTCTCAGTTGGGAGCTGAAAGTGCCGACAGCATTGGTGCTGTGTTAAATAGCAAAGATGAGCAGAGAGAAATTGCTGAAACAAGAGAAACCTGCAGGTCAGTCAAATAATTTTTTTTGAGACAGGGTTTCACTCTTGCCTAGGCTGGAGTGTAGTAGTATGATCGTGGCTCCCTATAGCCTCAACTTCCTGGGCTCAAGTGGTATGCTTCCCTTGGCCTCCCAAAGTACTGAGATTACAGATGTGAGCCACTGTGCCCAGCCGAATAACATTTTTTTCTAAATGACATGTTAATGTTGTGAAAGGGGCTGGACATGGTGGCTCACGCGTGTAATCCCAGCATTTGGGAGGCCGAGGCAAATGGATCACTTGAGGTCAGGAGTTCAAGACCAGCCTGGCCAACATGGTGAAACCCTATCTCTACTAAAAATACAAAATTTGCTGGTGGGGTGGTGGGTGCCTGTAATCCCAGCTACTTGGGAGACTGAGGCAGGAGAATCGCTTGAAACTGGGAAGCAGAAGTTGCAATGAGCTGAGATTGTGCTACAGTTCCAGTCTGGGCAATAGAGTGAGAATATGTCAAAAAAAAAAACAAAAAAAAACCTGAAAGGATTACTGTTTTAATAAACAAATAACTGTAAGTAGGTATGCAGTATATTAAGAAAAGCATCAAAATAATGATTTTAGACACAATGGTTTTATCGTCAGTTCATTGTTAAATATTTATTTTCTCAAGATAGTAAGTTCCCATTTGTAAAGTACTTAGAAAATGGAATGTTAGACTAAGAATTAGCATATATACTATAAATAAATAAGTGTATTTAAAAATTTTTTTATAAAAGAAAATATACTTTACCCTAAAAGTGATATTTATTTGCTAGTTCAGAAAGCATTTCAAAATTTTTTCATTATTCTAATCTTCAGTTTGGCCATCTGTGTTGCTAAAACAGGTTAAAATAATGCATACTATATAAGTTTTCTTTTTTTCAATATATCCCCTATAGCAGCATATTTTCTCATTTGGTTACTTTCTCTTAATAATGAAGTACAGAATTAATAAGTTAATCATGTTGTGCGACTTTTTGGATGACTAACAAACTGGGTAAATTAGATACTCTTTAATCAGGAAAAATTTTCCTTGTTTTGTTTTTATAACTTGTTATACATTTCTATATTTGTATATATTTGTGGGTAGTATTTCTGTTTTATTTTTCAGGGCTTCCTATGATACCTCTGCTCCAAATGCAAAACGTAAGTATCTGGATGAAGGAGAGACCGATGAAGACAAAATAGAAGAATATAAGGCAAGTAGATAGTGAAATAAGTTTATGGCCAAAGAAAAATCCAAATGATAGATTCATATCCATGAAAACAAATTTGATGGAAAGCCTAATTTTAAGATGTGCTAAAATAATTGTCAGTGGTGTATGTTATCACTTAAATTAAGACCATTGTATTAGTTTTCTTATCTTAATATGAGAGTTATGTGGGTTAAATTAAGTTTTGTATATAAAGCACTCAGCATAATGTCTGGTAAGCACCAAGCAGTAATATTCTTGAAGACAAGTGAGGATATAAGTGTGTCAGAAACTTTAGGCCCAGTGCCATGGCTCACACTTGTAATCCCAACACTTTGGAAGGCCAAGGCCAGTGGATTACTTGAGGTCAGGAGTTCAAGACCCGCCTGACCAACATGTCGAAACCCTATCTCTACTAAAAATGCAAAAAATTAGCTGGGTATGGTGGCACACGCCTGTATTCCCAACTACTCAGGTGGCTTAAGGCAGGAGCATAGTTGGAACCTGGGAGGCAGAGGTTGTAGTGAGCCGAGATCATGCCACTGCACTCCAGCCTGGGTGACAGAGTGAGACTCCATCTCAAAAAAGAAAAGAAAAAAAAAAAAAGAAACTTTGAGTAATTGGATCAGATTTTGAGAAGCTTCGGTAGTCTTTTTTGAGGAGTTATTCTTCCATGTTAACAACAATCAAGATATTTTTAGGATTCATGGCCTAGTCTACATTATAGAAATATTTCTGAAACAGGCTCAAGGAAAACCCAACTTCTAACTTGTAATTGCAGTATTTAGTTGAAATAGTTGAAAAGGAAGTATTATGAGCCAAAAGACTTGTTTTTTCAGGTTAATTGTATATAATAGAGATAAGAATGTATAGTTTCAATAAAATCTCTAGAAAGTTTAGTGATATAGTACCTAATTTCATGAATATTGTCTTATATGTTGCAGTTCTAATAATGTGTAACTTAAGCATTTGTGATTATTTTAGGTGGAACCATATGCAGTTGCTGATATTCTAACCTTTTGACCTATAAACATAGCTGTTTCATATGGTTTAATCTAATGGAAATAAAATTGCAACACTGATGGTCATATAGCTATGATTCAAACTAAACTCTTGACATTTATAGTATTGTATAAGATAAATAATTTTAGATAATTTAGTCAACAAAATAGTTATAGTAATTATTGTTTATGATGATGAAATTTTTTTGTGTGAAAATAATCAATTAGCTAGATCTAATGATGGGAAAGCAAAGACTTCAATGTTTGACTTTAATGCTAACTTAAAGCATTTATTAAATCTTAAGGAAATAAAATATTTATGTTGAGCTTAAACAAGATGTGATAATTAGAGAAATAGCCCCTATTTGTAAAATATTTACTTAATCTTATGTTTTTCAAGGATGAACTAGAAATGCAACAGGAAGAAGAAAATTTGCCGTATGAAGAAGAAATTTACAAAGATTCTAGTACTTTTCTTAAGGTAAAATAAGTAATTTTCAAATTTTGTAACTCTTCACATTTAAGTTCTATACCTGGAAAGATTTTAAATACCTGTTTGTCTTCAAGATATTTTTCAATGATTGAGGGATCACTGTTATAAAATAAAGATTATTTAAAATTAGTCATGAAATAGTCTTCTGATATTTGGCTATTTAGTGTGAGATAATGTTATATTAATATCAGCTACTGGAAAGTAACAATTTTAATTGTGTTTTCAGATATACTAATTTTTAAATCTATCGATTGATTGTATTTTATATGGTGTTGTAATAAAAAACAAAGTACAGAGATAATGTATCTGCCATTACAGTACATGTTACAAATTTAATTTGTCTTTTAATTTAGGGAACGCAGAGCTTAAATCCACATAATGATTACTGCCAACATTTTGTAGACACTGGACATAGACCTCAGAATTTCATCAGGGATGTAGGTATGTCAGATTTGTTTGGAATACACTGTTGCTGACTCTCAACTACGTGCGTGTAATTTATCCAATTTGTGGATATTTCTAACAAAATTATTTTTCCCAGCTTGACATCTTTTTTCTGTTCTTAGTACTTCTGGTTCCCTCTCTCTCTCTCTCTCTCTCTCTCTCTCTCTCTCTCTCTCTCTTTCTCTTTCTCTTTCTTTCTCTCCTTCCTTCCCTTCCTGCCTTCCCCCTTCTCTCCCTCTAGCTCTGTTTCCCAGGCTGGAGTGCAGTGTTGTGATCTCGGCTCACTACAACCTCCACCTCCCAGGTTCAAGTGATTGTTCTGCCTCAGCCTCCCAAGTAGTTGGGATTACAGGTGCCTGCCACCCTACCCAGCTAATTTTTGTATTTTTAGTAGAGATTGGGTTTCACATGTTGGCCAGGCTGGTCTTGAACTCCTGACCTCAGGTGATCCACCTGCCTTCGCTTCCCAAAGTGCTGAGATTACAGGTGTTAGCCACCGTGCCTAGCTCGGTACACCGTCTTTTTCTATTATTCAATATTGCTATTTTTGTGTATTTGTTTGTTTCTTTTTGGCTACAGTTTGGTACTGTGCCTATTCTTGCATTTTAGACAAATTTATTGAGATTTTATATATATATATATGTATGTATGTATATGTATACACACACACACACACACACACACACACACACACACAATACAATTCACTCAAAGAGTATAATTCAGTGTTTTTTTTTTAATATATCCGCAGGGTTGTGTAACTGTTGCCACAGTCTGTTTTAGAACATGTGCATATCTCCCCTAAGGAAGCTCTGTACCCATTAGCAGTTAATCTACATTTGCTCCCTCTCATCTGCCCCTTCTCAGACTTAAGTAACTACTGATCTGCTTTCTATTTCTATACATTTGCCGTTTTTGGACATTTCACATAAATGAAACTATACAATGTGTGGTGGTTTGTCACTGGCTTCTTTCACTTAGTGTATTTTCACGGGTCATTGATGTTGAAGCATGTGCCCATACTTCATGGTTTTTAAATTGCCAAGTAATATGCCATTGTATATGCCTAACTTTTTGACAAACTAATCAAGTGTTCTTCCAAGCCGCTGCACGATTTTATATTTTTACTGACAATGTATGATGGTTCCGATTTCTTCACATCTTGGGCACTTACTATTATCTATTTCCATCCTCATAAGTGTGAAGTGATATTTTATTGTGGTTTTGAGCATCTTTTTGTATGTGTATTGGTCATTTAAATATCTTCTGTAGAGAAATATCCAAATACTTTGTGTATTTTTTAATTGTTTAACTGTCTTTTTACTATTGAATTACAAGAGTCATATTTATTTATATATATATATATATATATATATTTGCGTGTGTGTGTGTGTGTGTGTGTGTGTGTGTATGTGTATATTCTTTACATTTTCTGAGTACAAGTTTATCGGATGAGTAATTTGCAAATATTTTCTTACATTCTGTGTCTCACTTTCTTAATATTATATTTTGTAGAACAAATATTTTATTTTGATATAATCAAATTTAGTTTTTCCTTGTTACATGTAAACAACATTACCCTTAAAGTAGAGAAACTAATTTTAACGTTTTTGTAAGCAAAATATAGATGGAGCATAACAATTTATATAAATTGTATAACCAGATTTAGATATAAACCATTCTGCTCTTAAGATACCTGTCTTCCCAAGGCAAAGAAAGCATACTTAGAAAACTATTACAGATTGAGGAAAAGTTGTACCTTCTTTTTGTAGATGATTAAAAGCTGACTCTGCTGTCTTGAAACTTGACTGTAATAAAATCTTCAAATTTGTTGTATTTGAAATGTGATCTGCAACCACTAACTGAGGAACCTTTACAAAATCTTTTACTTTTTTCTTTGATATTAAAGTTACTAATATTTGTACTTTGGCTTTTAAATTAGGAAGTTTATTTAATTTATATTGTTATGAATGTGCTCCCTCTGGGAGGGGGAAAAAAGAAACACTCATTTTCTCTGCTTTGGATAACTATCCAACAAATTAAGTTAAAATATTAACAATCAGCTTCTTTAGGATATGGAATTTTTTTTTTTTTTAGCTAAGAGGAAGGGGGAAAAAATCACGCAAGAAAGGTAGTTATATTTTTTTCCTGAATGTTAAACCGGATGCTATGAGCAGATTGTTTAACTAAATGAATATGTGATATTAAGTGGTTTATTGACTTGGACTAGGTTTTAGAACGTCTAGGTTTTTACTTGCATGTCATTAGTATGAAATGTGCATACATATTATTTAAAATTATTAGAAATTAAACTTCCTTAAAAGATACGTGTATGGTGTGTATTGTTTTGTTTTCTTGAGAGGGCTCATAACTTTTGAATTACTGATAATAACTTCAGTTGAGTTGAAATTCAGAATTTACTGTTTTATCTCCTCAGGTTTAGCTGACAGATTTGAAGAATATCCTAAACTGAGGGAGCTCATCAGGCTAAAGGATGAGTTAATAGCTAAATCTAACACTCCTCCTATGTAAGTGTTTTTATTACTGTTTGTTCCCAGCTCAGGCTTAAAGTAACAATTTGTTTATCCTATAACCTTTTTTCTTTTTCCTAAATTCAGCACTTTTATTAACATGTTTTATTACTCTATTTTTTTTTCTTTGCTTTTTTTTTTTTTTTAAAGACTGGTTCTCATTATGTTGCCCAGGCTCATGTGCATCTCCTGGGATCAAGCAGTCTCCTCCCACCTCAGCTGGACTTACAGGCATTTCAGTCACCACTCCTGGCTCTATTTTTCTTTTCTTTTCTTTTTTTCTTTCTTTTTTTTTTTTTTTTTTTGAGATGGAGTCTCCCTCTGTTGCCCAGGCTGGAATATGGAGTGCAGTGGCGCAATCTCGGCTTAATCAGCCTTCACCTCCCAGGTTCAAGCGATTCTCATGCCTCAGCCTTCTGAATAGCTGGGATTACAGGCAGGCACCACCATTCCTGGCTAATTTTTGGCATGCACCAGCATGTCTGGCGAATTTTTGTATTTTTAGTAGAGATGGTGTTTCACTGTGTTGCTCAGGCTTCTCTTGGATTCCTGATCTCAGGTGATCTGCCCACCTTGGCCTCAAAGTGCTGGGATTACAGGCATGAGCTACCACACTGAGCCTTGTTTCTTCTTTATAGCAAAAATGTTAATTTGAAACTCTGGTGCTGAGTTCACAGTGGGCTCTCAATTTTTTTTTCAGCTTTTCAGATAATTTACTTAAAGTACCTCTATATTTTTTTTTCTTAAAAATCATTCAGTCTGGGCACAGTGGATGATTACCGGCATGAGCCACTTGTGGAGGCTTGGGGAGGCTGAGGCAGGTTAATCACCTGAGGTTAGGAGTTTGAGACCAGTCTGGGATTATAGGCATCAGCCATTTTAGGAGGCTGAGGCAGATGGATCAGCTGAAGTCAGGAGTTTGAGACCAGCCTGGCCAACATGCTGAAACCCCGTCTCTACTAAAAATACAAATATTAGCTGGGCATGGTGGCACATACCTGTAATCCCAGCTACTCAGGAGGCCGAGGCATGAGAATCATTTGAACCTGGGAGACAGAGGTTGCAGTGAACTGAGATAGTGCCATTGCTCTTGAGCCTGAGTGACAGAGCAAGACTCTGTATTCTTGATAACTTACTTAAAATGCCTTTAAATGACTTCTTGTCAAGTAATTTGTTTATTAAAGGAAGCTTAGAAAAGTTAGATTCAGGAAAAGAACACAAAAATTAATCACAGCATAGCATTCTGAGATACTATTCTTAACAATTTGGAATGTGATAATTCATTTTAATTGTTGCTAAACAGAATAATGTTTTCCTCAGAAATGTATATAAGAACTTTGAAATTGGAGAATTTAGCTTGGAATGTTTTGTAATGATTTGACAAAATGTATTCTGTAAGTCATTAGAAGTACCACAGAATGTCTTAGTATGTAGAGAGGAAGTGTAAGTATACGCTAATATTCATTGTATTTTGAAATACACCTTTACTTGCATATTTATTCATTTGTTTATTTAAATAGAGACAGGGTCTCACTGTGTTGCCCAGGCTGGTCTCAAACTCCTGGGGTCAATTGATCCTCCCACCTTGGCCTTCCAAATGTTGGTATTATGGGCATGAGCCACCATGCCTGCCCTGAAATACACCTTTAGTTGTGATGTTGAGGAAGGAAGATCACTTGAGCCCAGGAGTTTGAGATTGTAGTACTCTATGATCAGGCTTGTGAATAGCCATTGCATTCAGCCTGAGCAATATAGTGAGACCTCATCTCAAAAAAAATAACCGAAAACCTATTTACATTTAAAGTATTTTAAATTTGAAGTATTTTCATGCTATGTGAAGTAACTTTTCAGTAAAGGCCAATACTAACTTATATTAGGTAGCATGAAAAGACTCAATATAAACATTTTTACTAATGAAAAAACTAATAAAAGAAAATTATTTGAAAACTGTGTTTTAGGGTGAAGAATTTAAAGCTTACAGAGAAATGGATTTTCTAACCTAACTAAACAATTGAGAAATAAACAATGTGATATTCCTTAGAGAATTCAGATGAGAATGGAAATGGGTTCAGAGACACATCTGAGTATATGGATTTTTAATATTGAGAGAAGAATATTTCTGGATGTACATGGGGAATAATATGACTTTTACTATGTAGTTTAATTATGTTCATGTACTAAGACCATTTGTAGATGGTTTAAGTCTATACTGAAGAAAAAAAAACCCTCAATAAAAATGATTTTGGTAATTAGCTTATTGATTACTTTGTAAATAATGTTTAGTAGTAATGTTTAGTGATATCTAAGACATTTCTTTCATTACCTTTTGAAAGGCACTTGAAAATCTTATTTAAAAAAGCTTATTTAAAAAAATATTTTTTATGCTTTAATCAAATAGGTACTTACAAGCAGATATAGAAGCCTTTGACATCAGAGAACTAACACCCAAATTTGATGTGATTCTTCTGGAACCTCCTTTAGAAGAGTATTACAGAGAAACTGGCATCACTGCTAATGAAAAATGCTGGACTTGGGATGATGTATGATGAAACTTTCTATATTGTAATGAATTTTTTATTTTCAAATGAATATATGTTTATTTGATTAGAAAGTGAGATAATAAATATCCCTACTTTAGTAGGGATTATAAATATAGATTTGTAGTGTGAATTATAGCTGAAGGTCCAAGATACATTGACCAATATTACAGTTTCTTTAATATGATTCTTCTTTATGAGGCAAAAATTGAGCAGATACTAAGTGAGTAGGCTATAGAAGACTTACAATTTTAGTCTTAGAGCCCTTGGCTATGTAGCTAGAAAAGTTTAAAAACACACAGAATGATTCATAATTCATTCTGCATTTGATTAGTTTCAGCAAACATTAGAATTTGGTTATGTATATATATATAAAACCAAATATATATATATATATATGTGTGTGTGTGTGTGTGTGTGTGTGTATATATATATATATATATATAAATAAACATGATTTCTACTCTTTAAATGACTTACAGTAAAGTATGGATAAAGAGGATATATGGACACATAATTAGAATTTTGTTGATTAAGTGATGGAGTCCTGCATAAGATGATATGAGAACAACTGACCAAGCCTAGATAGATGGGACATATGAACATAGAGGAGGTGGTGACACCTGAACAATACAAATATATGAGTTGGATTACCCAAGAAAGATGTGGGATGGGGCTTACAAGCAGAAAGAACAACATGAACAGAAGACATGGGGGCAAATGACTATCTCTTAGGGGGAGGTCTGTATGTAAGTTGATATTGTTGGAACACAGATTGGGATTATCTTGAGGTGATGTGTCAGGAGTCTGGACTTTTATTCTGAAGACATTAATAAGTCTTTGAAGAGTTTTAACCAGTTTAGTAAAAAGGTCAGATTGGTGTTTAGAAGCTGGACTAGAGTCTGGGAAAGAATTCTGGAAAAAGGAGAGCGATTAGAAGACTCTTTCGTATAGTAACCTACTGCTGAGATGAAGAGACCCTGAATTAGGGTAATAGTAGGAATGGAAAAAAAGTGATAAATTCAGTAATATTTAGGAGGTAGATTTGGTGAAACTGAGTGATGGGGATGAGGGGAAGAGTTAAGGATATCTAAGGGTTTCTATCTTGGGGTAGGTGGATTGAATTATCACCAACTAAGAGTGGATTTCAGAAGATGAGCAGGATTAGAGAAATTAAATAATGTTGAATAAGTTGATCTCTAGATATATGTGAGACGTTCAAATGGAAGATGTAACAGGAATATGAAACTCAAAGGACAGACAGATCTGGTTTCAAAATATGTGTTTTAGAAGATTATCACATAAAATCCATGCAAATAGATGAGTTTATCTTGGGATCATGTCTCAGGATAAAAAGGTGGTCTGACAGTAAAGCCTGGGAAAACATTTACATTTAAGGACCACGTATAAAAGAAATGCAAAAATGAGTTGTTCAGTGATGAATGAAGAGAACCAGGAGAGTATGAATGTAATGGAAACCAAGGGAATAGTGAGTTTCAAGGAAATGTAGTCAGGAGTATCCTTCATTTCTAGGAAAGATATAGGCCAAGGAAAGGACTGAAACTGGAAGACATGTTTCTTAGGAAACTGATTGGAATCCTTGCATGTCCCTTTCTGAGTTAATGGTAGTTACTACTCTGAATGTCTGTTTTTCCAAGATTTACCTCTAATTCATCTTCCTTGAAGCTTTTCCTATTAGCTTTAATACTCCTAGCACTTTTATTTACATTTGTATGGCTCTTATAATGTAAAAGTTTTTCCCCTTCCTTGTTTAAAGTGTTACCTGTGTTTATTGTTGAAAAAAATCAGAAAAGTACACAGAATATAGTATTTCTAACACTTAAGATTAAAGACTTAATGCTCTTGGTATTTAGTGCAGAGAAGTTTTCCAGATAGGTGTAAATTTACATTCTTTTCAGTAGTGTTTAACAATGTCTAGTTAACTATATCCTCATTAAAGTTGAATATTAATATTAAAAACCATTTTTTTGTCAGTTTGATCAAAGAAAAGAAAATTTAAACAACGAATCTGATTATATCATTGATTAATAATTAGGCAGAACTTTGTTTTCTCTAGCCAGTCCACGAAGTTTCAGCAATGAAGGTACAAGACCTTCAATTATATATGATAAACTAATACAGTTTTTGAAATAAATTCTATTTTATATGCAGCTTTTTTATTTTAGTTTAATTTCACTGTTCACCAGTTCTGGCTGGCATATTGAAAAATTTGGCCCCAGAGCTCTTTAACTTTTATGAGATATTGTCCTAAAGAAAGTGCCATTAGATAATGTAATAAACAAAATGTAAATAAAAAAAGTGTTTGGGTTTCACAGGTGTTCTTTTTCATGTTAGAGTCAGTAGTGGTCATTGTGTTTTACTTAAGAACACAAGCACCTAATTAAAGTACCAACACTTAGCTTTTAGAATTAGTGTCAAAAGAGAATAATTAATTTTTTTTTGTCATTTCAGACAAAGTAGTAATTGTAGGAAAATAATGTATATTGATTTATTGAGAAGTTCTGTAGACACTGTATATCACAGTCCTCCCCAAAACATTTATTGTTATATTTTAATTTTGTTCCTAACGTTGAGTTCAGTTAAGCTCTTCATTCTTTTTCGATAAATGGTAAGACATTGCTGGAGAATCTCTCTCAAGCTCCATCTTAAAAGATTCCATAGTTCTATAGCTATGGTTTCCTGTAAGCTCTTTCGGTATAAAAGCAAGTGTATATATGGAGTGCAGTGTTGCAATCATGTGTGCACAAATGCGTATGTTGTTTATATATAATGTAACAAAACAACAACAGAACAAGTAATTTTAAGGATAACATTTTTTTCTATTATAGTTCCTAATGGAAACTAATACACTGCAAGAACACATCTACTGGGTAACCTGATAAATCTCAATTGTTGTTCTTTTGGATTTAGGATGAATGGGAAACAAAATACTTTTATGCAATATTCTTTTGATTTCTTACAGATTATGAAGTTAGAAATTGATGAGATTGCAGCACCTCGATCGTTTATTTTTCTCTGGTGTGGTTCTGGGGAGGGGTTGGACCTTGGAAGAGTGGTAAGATGGTGCTTTTATAAAGTGAATTTTTACATTAATAAGAAAAAAAAGTAACAATATTTTGCATAGAAAGTTTGAAAATCGATGGTATTTTGTCCTTTGTTTCTTGAATAATTCTAAAATAGTGAGAAAAAAAATGTCCAGAAAAGAATGTAAGAAATGCAATACTTGTAAGTCAGTTAACCAGCTAGACTAGGGATGAATGTGCAGCTCTTTCAAAAGGTACTTTATTGCAAGTGTAGGAGGAGAACACCTTAAAGATTTGAAACTCCAAATTATACCTCAAAAATGAGTTGCTTTGGTATTGTTTACTATTCTTTATTAGTAGCTAAAAAGTATTCTAACTAGTATTGGCTCCTGAAATCCAAATAGAAGTCACATAAAATTGGAAAAGTAACACAGCATATGGAAGACATGAATGAATGAATGAATGAATAAATAAGATATAACACCTGAACTTATTTTAAGTATCTGATATTTAATTGTATTTTAGAGCTTTTTTGTTTTTATTTTTTATTGGAGTTTTTTCTTATTTTTTTGAGACAAGGTCCAACTCTATTCCCCAGGCTGGAGTACAGTGTTACAAACACGGCTTACTGCAGCCTTGATCGACCTCCTGGGCTCATGCAGTTTTCCCATCTCAGCCTCCTCATAGCTGGGACCACGGGCACAACGCCACCCCTGGTTAGTTTTTTTAGTTTTTGCAGAGATGAGGTCTTGTTATGTTGCCCAGGCTGTCCTCAAACTCCTGGGCTCAAGGGATCCTCCCACCTCAGCCTCCCAAAGTGCTGGGATTATAGGCATGAGCCACCACACCTGGCCCTGATTGGAGTATTTTGCCAAAAGGAACAAAATAATATTTATATATGCTATTTTAAACAAGAATAATGACAGTATTATGACTATGTATCAGGAATCTTAATTTTGCTCTCAATTCAGCTGCTATGCAAAAAGGTACTTACTGCTGAGGTTCCCAGTTTTGTCATGTTTTGTTGGTTGACACTTTTCATTTTTATGACTTATTACTTCCTACACTCCAAATGACTTCATTTAATCATTCTAATTTGGGGAGGTATCCATTTAACAGTTGAAAAATTTAAGATTATATGAGACAACAAGTACAATTATATGGAAATAAGATTGTGCTCCAATTCTGAAATTCCACAATTACTTTATATTCTTTACATAAATAGTAAGGCTGTTGGGTAATACCATTGCTTCTATCATTTACTAACTCCAAAATAGACTATAATTGTATTTCAGTTGGGTGTCTCCTTTTTTTTGGTAGTGACTCTTCAAGATGCTCTAGAAAAGTTAGAGAGAAACAAATGTTTTTATAGGTATATTGGTATTTACTTTGTTTTAACTTTGACTTTGATCTTTCCTTGCATTCCCCAAATTAGATTGAAAATGATTAGGAGGTTTTTTATCCTTTTTTTAAAAATTTTTTTTTGAGACAGATTCTTGCCCTGTTGCCCATGCTAGAGTGCAATCATGGCTCACTACAAAACTCTGCCTCCCAGTTGAAGCAGTTCTTCTGCCTCAGCCTCTTCAGTAGCCATCCAGGAGATTTTTATCTTATTTGCATATGCAGCAGTTATTATACTGGTGAGAGTTTAGCAAAAAACAATTAAAAAAAAAATTCAGCATGAAAAATAGTCATGAGCTTTTGATAAATTAGTGGATTAGGGCATGTAGAATTTAGGTCATAGTGATGTTAATGACAGCTACTGTAAAATAAATATTTAGTAACAGGAATAGGTAATTGATTTTGATTTTGGAGATTTTAAAATAAAACTCTACTGGGCACAGTGGCTCATGTCTATCATCCAGCACTTTGGGAGACTGAGGCGGGCAGGTCACTTGAGGCTAGGATTTCAAGCCTCAGCCTGGCCAACATGGTGAAACCCTATCTCTACTAAAAATACAAAAATTAGCAGGGAATGGTGGCACGTGCTTGTGGTCCCAGCCACTTGGGAAGCTGAGGCATGAGAATTGCTTGAACCTCGGAGGTGGAGGTTGCAGTGAGCCAAGATTATACCACTGAACTCCGGCCTTGGCAACAGAGTCCGACTCTGTCTTAAACAAAAAAATAAAATTTTAAATTTTATTTTGAGGTGTTATCTTACATTGCCCAATAAGCATTTCTGAAAAGTGTATGTTTCATACTCTACTGTATCTTTATATGTACTGATCATCATACCAGCAATACAGTACTTATTTATTATTCCCTCATTTACACTTAATCTTAAGTTGATGGGGGTAGGGACTGTATCTTATTCATGTTTTTATTCCCAGCAGCTAGCCAGCAATGGCATATGGTAGGCTTTCAAAGGTCACTGTGAGCAATCATTTAGCTGGTATTTGTTTCACGTTCATGTATAATAGATTCTAGGACATTAAGGTTCACATCTTTATTTTCTAGATTATATAGAGATGAAAGTACAGTTTTATCCAACAAAGAGATATACTTAACACTTTTAAGTCTGAACATTTTTACAGTTGTATTAAATATAGAAATACAGTTTTATAAGACTCTCATTTGATGTTTGCATTTAGAAAATTTTCAGCAGTGTATAGCTTTGTCAGAGAATAGAATATTTAGGTGGCAGGGATCAAATTGTGTTTTGAACTATTTTGTGATTACAGAAGGTCTGAGTGTCTGCTTACAATTTAAAACCCAGTATCCATTAATGACAAGAGAATGCAGAATTGGGATATTATGTAATCCTTTCTGTGTTTTGATATTTAACTATATATGTGACATTGATATCCAAAGGTAAATACGTATTCTATATTATGGCTGTATATTTAAAGAGTGGCATATCTTTCTATACTCTACACTAAGACAAAATTACCTTGAAACCTTGGAATTTAGTGTCTGAAACCTCTAGAAAGTTTTTTTGTTTTTAATGCTGTTGATTATTGTCTTATTTATTTCTTTAAGTTAAGGATTTCTGTTTAAAATTCTTTCTTTTCTAGTGTTTACGAAAATGGGGTTACAGAAGATGTGAAGATATTTGTTGGATTAAAACCAATAAAAACAATCCTGGGAAGACTAAGACTTTAGATCCAAAGGCTGTCTTTCAGAGAACAAAGGTATTGCTTTTACTGATTTATTTTTTTTAATTTTCATGATTTTCTCTCAAGCTTTTCCAAATCACTGTATGCTGTTTAATTAACTTTATGAGAAGGTCCTTTTCTTAGACTTGTAAAAACAGCATTGAGCATTACAGGAATACATCCAAGTTAGGTTTTAAATGATTTATTCACCATCTTAAATCAACCCCCACCATGCTAGAAAGGGGAGTATGTATTCCTCTATGTCCTAAATGCCATATTTCTAAGTTAGATAAATGCTTTTGATCACCCTGTCCCACAGAATTTTTCTTTTTCTAGGCTCAGAAAGAAAAGATAGCAGCAAGACTCTAGCTGGCCAGCTTAGAAACGTTTCTCTCTTCTTCTTTTTCCTTTAAGAACCCTTAAGAACTTCTGCTTCATGTGACTGTGCCCTGCTAGTATCAGGCTTTAACAGTTTTTATTCTTCACTTTTGAGGGAGCGAGTGGTGGGAGGGTCTTTCTTATTAAGTCTTTTTTGGACTGGAATCATGCCTAGGTAATGAAGCCTCCATAAAATCCTAAGACAGGGGCTGGAGAGCTTCTGTGTTGGTGAACCTGTGGAGTTTCTGGGAAGGTGGTCCGCTTGGAGAGGGCACAACAGCTCCATGACCCGTGCCCCATACCTGTCAATGTGTGTCCCTTCCATTTGGCTGTTTTGAATTGTATCCTTTTATAACAAATAGGTCATAATAAGTAAAGAGCTTTCCTGAATTCTGTGAGCTGTTCTAGCAAATGATCTAACCTGAGAAAGAGGTCATGGGAACCTCTGATTTATAGCTGGTTGGTCAGAACCACAGGTGACAATCTGGACTTGTGATTGGTATCTGAAGGTAGGGCAGTCATGTGGAGTCTGCACTAAGTAGGTAGATAGTGTCAGAACTGAATTGAATTATAGTGTTGGTGGAGAAGTGGAGAATTGCTTGGTGTGGGAAAAACCCACACATCTGGGATCAGAAATGAAGTATTCTAAAAATACTGAGTGTTGTAAGTGAGAGCGTACAAAAGAGTTTGTTTTTCTTATTTACATGGCAGTCTTTCCTCATCCAGAAATCCAGGTTCTCCTGTTGGTTTTTTGCCCATAGAATTGTATCCCACCAGGAATGGTAGCTCACTTCTGTAATCCCAGCACTTTGGGAGGCCAAGGTGGGTAGATCACTTGAGCCCAAGAGTTCGAGACCAGCCTGGGCAACATGGCGAGACCCTGTCTTTACAAAAAATTTAAAAATTAGCCAGGTGTGGTGGCATGTTCTGGTGATCCCAGCTATTAGAGAGGCTGAGGCGGGAGGATTGCTTGAGCCCAGGAGGTCAAGGCTACAGAGCTGAGATCATGCCACTGAACTTCAGCCTGGATGACAGAGCAAGACTCTGTCTTAAAAAAAAAAAGAGAAAGAACTGTATCCCAAAGATTTGGAGAAATGAGGATTGTTTTAGAATTGAGGACATCAGAAATGTAAAAGGTTTTGGAATGACTGTTGATTAAAAGAGATTAATTGGTATGCTCTTGTTATTTAGGAACACTGCCTCATGGGGATCAAAGGAACTGTGAAGCGTAGCACAGACGGGGACTTCATTCATGCTAATGTTGACATTGACTTAATTATAACAGAAGAACCTGAAATTGGCAACATAGAAAAACCTGTAGAAATTTTTCATATAATTGAGCATTTTTGTCTTGGTAGAAGACGCCTTCATCTATTTGGAAGAGATAGTACAATTCGACCAGGTAGGACCTCAGTTAAAACAACAACAACTTTATGATTCTTTGGATTATGCATGTCAAGAAATAGGACATGGTACTGTGTAAAATAAAGTTCTGATGTGTTTGATTGATTCTCTTGCTGTACTTAAAATTGAACAGTTTTAGGTACACAGCAAAATCAAGAGGAAGGCACAGAGACTTTCTATATAACTCTGCCCCCAAACATGCATAACCTCCCCAGTTATCAGTATCTCCCACCAGAGTGGTACATTTGTTACAAATGATGAACCTACATTGACAGGTCATAATCACCCAAAGTCCACAGTTTATATTAGGATTCACTTTTGGTGTGGTAATTCTGTGGGTTTAGACAAATGTATAAGGACATGTATCCACCATTATAGGATCATACTGAATAGTTTCACTGCCCTAAAAATCCTCAATGCTCCACTTATTCATCCCCCCCACAACCCTTGACAAACACGTATCTTTTTACTGTCTCCATAATTTGCCTTTTTCAGAATGTTATATAGTTGGAATTGTATAGTATGTAGCCTTTTTAGATTGGCTTCTTTTATTTGGCAATTGGCATTTAAGATTTCTCTATGCCTTTTTATGATTTGATAGGTCATTTCTTTTTAGTGCTGAATAATATTCCATTGGATATACCACAGTTTATGTATCCATTTACCTAATGAAGGACATCTTCCCAAGTTTTGGCAATTATGAATAAGCAGCCATGGATATCTGTGTGCAGGCTTTTGTGTGGTCATAAGTTTTCAGCTCCTTTGGGTAAATACCAAGGAGCACAAATGCTGGATTGTATAAGAATATCTTTAATTTTGTAAGAAACTGCCAAGACTGTCTTCTGAAGTGCTTGTACCATTTTGCATTTCCACCTGCAGTGAAAGTTCCTGTTGCTCCACATCCTCAGCAGCATTTGGTGTTGTCAGTGATCAGGATTTTGGCAATTTTACTGTGTGTGTAGTGGTATCATATTGTTGTTTTAATTTGCATTTTTTCTGATGACATATGATGAACATCTTTTCATATGCTTATTGGCTATCTATATGTCTTCCTCGGTGAGATGTCTTTTAAGGTCTTTGGACCATTTTTTATTTGGCTGTTTGTTTTCTTATTGTTGAGGCTTAAGAGTTATTTGTATATTTTGGAGAATAGTACTTTATCAGATTTGTTTTTTGCAAATATTTTCTCTTAGTTGGTGACTGTCTTCTCATTGCCTTATTGCATGTTTATTTTTATTTAATTAATTTCTGCTTTTTTGTTTTCTTTCTATTTTGGGTTTACTTGCTATCCTTCTGAAGTATTTTAACATTGATTTTCAGCTTTTTTGTAGTATGGTATTATATTGCAAGCTCTAAATTTCTCTAAGCACAGCTTTATTGCATTCCAAAAGTTAGGTATGTAGTGTTTTATTATCATTTATTTCAAATGTTTTTTCAAATTTTCATTGTGATTGCATATTTAATCTATTGGTTATTCAGTATTATGTTGCTTAAGTTATTTAGTTACTGCTTTTGGGCTATATTGTGGTCAAATAACTTATATTGTAAAGTTCACTTCTTTGTAATTTGTTGGGATTTGCTTTATGGCTCAGTTTTAATAAATATTCTAAGTCCAGTTGAAAAGAATGTGTACTCTGTTTTTGTTGTGGTTGTGGTATTTATTAACCGTATGCTATGTAGATCACGAATATCTTTACTGATATTTTTAAAGTACTTGTTAAGTGACAAAGGTCTATTGAAATCTGTTATGGTTATGGATTTGTGGTTTCTTTGTTTAGTTGTCAGTTTGTATTTATATCTACTAGAGGATCTGTTGTTAGGTGCATAGAAAAGGTGGACTTTTTATGCCTTCCTGGTAGATTGGCCTCCTTAATGCTATGAAATGTCCTTTATCCAGTGTTTTTGACCTTAAATTCTACCTCACCTGATAGTATAGCTGTTATAACTTTCTTAGGTTTGTGTTTGCCTGGCATATTATTTCCAGCCTTGCACTTTCGGTTTTTCTGTTGTTACGTATAAGATGTATCTCTTGCAAATAAACACACAGTTGCTTTTTCATCCAGTTTACTTTTATCTTTTAATTGGACATTTAGTCAATCTATATGTAATGTAATTCCTGACATTTTTGGGCATAAATGACCATCTTCCTGTTTGCTTTATATTGGTACCAGCTGTTCTGTTTCTTTTTCTCTCATTTCTTTTGGATTGATTAATTACTCTTTTATCATTTCATTTTTCCTTTTCATTAACTTGTTATGTATTCTTTTGTTGTTCTTCATTGATTATCTTGGAAACTGCAGCATGTATCCTTGAATTATTAAATTCTAAATTAAAATAGTACAGATTTTTAAAGAGTGAGAATACTATGACTTAATCTTTAGAATTTCCTTCATTTTTTAAACCAATTTTTCCTCAATATGCATATTAGATCATACGTATATTTTATACATAGTATGTATATATGGCTATGTAATGAAATTTGAGTTGTTTAGGCTTCCTCTGCAAATATACATGAACATCTTGTTTGAAAGTTCTATGGATGACTTTATTCTCTTATAAAAGTAAAATATTTTTTGGCAGCAGAGCTTATGGTAAGCAAATATTTCCCCTTCACTGAGTTAAGAGAAAATAATGTCTCTAAAATTTCAACTGAAGTAGTGTGTTTGTTCAGGAAGCATAAGTGTCCATATATATAACATATCAAGAATATAGTTATCATGTTTTAGTAAATAAAGAACAGATTTTTCTCTTCCTTTTATTAACCTGTCCTGCACAAATATAGCTCCTGAATCTGAGAATAATCTCAGTGGCAACTGCTGTTTAAGGAAACAGAAAACTTAAGAAAAAACAAAACTATTACAAGAATAAAAGCAAACATCAGATGGTAATCTCTTAATAATTGAAAAGTTAATGTAACATTTAGGAAAGTTTCAAATAATAATTTTTTTACATAATACTTTTCAATCCTTGTGCATACAAATTTTATTGTATTTTATTTATTTACTGAAACAAGATATATACCTGTGAAATCTTTAAAATATGACCACAATTCAATGCCATTCTGTAAAAGAGATCAATATTGGATGAATGATGGGAACATCTTTAAGAATGCATTGGGGATTTGAACTAGGTTCTAAAGAATTAATAAGAGAGAATTGCAAATAAAAAGGATAATCTTTTTTTCCTCCATTTTAGGCTGGCTCACAGTTGGACCAACGCTTACAAATAGCAACTACAATGCGGAAACATATGCATCCTATTTCAGTGCTCCTAATTCCTACTTGACTGGTTGTACAGAAGAAATTGAGAGACTTCGACCAAAATCACCTCCTCCCAAATCTAAATCTGACCGAGGAGGTGGAGCTCCCCGAGGTGGTGGAAGAGGTGGAACTTCCGCTGGCCGTGGACGAGAAAGAAATCGATCTAACTTCCGAGGAGAAAGAGGTGGCTTTAGAGGGGGTCGTGGAGGAGCACACAGAGGTGGCTTCCCACCTCGGTAATTGTTGAAGACATTGATCCTGTTCATGCTCCTCTAACCTTCTTTAGTGTAGTTAAATTTCAAGTGGGAGACTTAACTTTAGAATGCACTTGCAGCTTGCACTTTGCTTTAATTTCTCTGAGCTGCAGGAATGTCTTAGCCAACCTCGCTTGCAGTTGTCACACACACTGTATAGTTTTTTTCAGGATAAATGAATGATCCTGGCTTTTGTTATGTGCATGAACAGAATGGAACAACTCAAGTAGCTTCATCTTTGGAGACTGAATTTATTCTGATAGAGTTCAACAAATTACAAAGGGTTTTGCTAATTTTTAGAAATAAACAATGGAAAAAGATCCAATCTGTGGTGTCATGCTAGTGCTGACAGGAGCTGGTAATGCACATCCTGTCACTGCTGCCATAACAAATGGGGAGCTGTTTGGGAGCCTTGATAGAATAGAGTTGGAACAGATGGTAAGCTTCTGTCAGGGTTTTAACATTTTCTTGATGAAACAATAAAAAGAGGTAAGCTTTTTTATTTCCTTCTTTTTAAAGTCTTAAATAAACTCAGATATAATTTGAATACCGAAGAAATTAAAGAGACTTTGAACAAAACCACCTCTTCCCAAATCTAAACCTGATAGGGGAGGTGGAGATTCCAGGAGCAGTTGAAAGAAGAGATACAACTTAGTAGACAGACTTAAAAAAAAACAAAAAACAAAAGTTCATCATCATAATCTCAGTTTTGTGGCTATGACTCTTAATCATGCTTCCTAAGAAGCAAAGGAGGACAAATATTCATGTGCTAGATAGAACTCTGGTGTGGACTTGAACTTGGATTGACCTTAAAGTAATTTTATATTCCTCAGCAAAATAAATGAGAGGCAAGAACAGGATACCTCACTATCAGATGCTTGGTTTAACATTTTGGGACTAAAATACTTGGTGATGAAATGACATACGCCTTTAAACATGTTATGGAGACAGTTTAATATAAAACCAACTACAGAAAACTTTCAACTTAAGGATACAGCTTGGAAATTGGAACTGCAGTTGCCTTTTATTAAACCCATATGGTGTAATATTTGTTTTTAAGGACTTCTTGTGCAGATGAGTTAGTTATATAAGACTTGATGCTGTCATTTCTCTTGCTATACTGTAATTCATGGTTTAAATGAATTTGATAATGAAATAATACCATTATTGTTGATGAATAGTTTTCTTATTTTTATGATTTTTCTAATGAAACTTTAAACTTTTAAGATTTGAGAGCCTGTTTTCTGTAAGTAGAATCACTGTTGTTACTGTTGTTACCAAATAGAAAAGTTTTGGTCTGTGATGCATTTTAATGGCTATTCTCTGCTCATATCTAAGATGAGATTATATTACATCCACCAAAGACTCAGTTTCAAGATAAGGACTGAATGATAGAAATAAGGCTGACATCCTTAAAAGACTAATGAATTTAACTTGCTTAACCCATTAGTACTATCTAATACAAGACAGCATTTGACTAACAACTCTCTTAGTGTAGATGTTATTTGTCATAATTGGAGTTTTTGCTGAAATTATGGTATATTTTCAACTTCACTAATTATAGTTTATCTAGAATTAGAACTCTATATGTCAGAGTTGACCTGGGAATGAAGTCAGGATAGAGAAATTCCAGTTGCCTGTGATGGGTCCTTACAAGTTTCAGCTAAGGAGTGACCCTGTCTTATACACAGGGCTCTTTATTACATTCCATGCCCTGGGCCTACCCAAGATGACATTCCTGGAGGTGGTGACATTCCTGCTGTTTACATGGCATAGATACCTGTGAGATTATCACAATTTCATCTTACAAAGAGGTAGGTGTGGCTGCTTTGACAGTTGAAAGTTAAGGGGAACCATGATCTACCATATTTAGGAAAAAGTAATTTAAAAAGTAGATCATGGAAAAAGAATGTAAGACCTAGAATTTATCCCTTTGACAATAATCTGGCCTTTTTAATCATGGGATGGAGTTGACTCACTAGTTTTTGCTAACTTTGACTTTCAGTAAAGGTTGAGGTATTGTTTCTGCAGTAAACTATATATTCATTGAGGAAAGGCTTCCAATGAAAATTTATTACTCTGACCTCTTCAAATTTTTGATCTTCTTTATATTTACATGTCTTACATTCCACAAAATTATGTAGAAATGCTGGGTGCAGTGGCTCACGCCTGTAATCCCAGCACTTTGGGAGACCTGATGTGGGTAGATCACTTGAGGTCAGAAGTTTGAGACTAGCCTGGCCATCATGGTGAAACCCCATCTCTACTAAAAATACAAAGATTAGCCAGGCATGGTGGCACTGTAATCCCAGCTACTCAGGAGAATGAGGCAGGAGAATTGCTTGAACCTGGGAGGCGAAGGTTGTAGTGAGCGGAGACTCTCCAGGCTGGGCGACAGTGAGACTCTTGTAAAAAAAAAAAAAAAAATATATATATATATATATATATATATATAAATTTTTAGTTGCTTTATACACTAATTCCTTATTGGGAATGGAAGCTAATTATTGTGAGATAACTACATTTTTGAGTTTAGAAGTTATAAGATCAGCATGTCTGAGTTTTTACAGCGTTATAATTCTTGGTATTCCAAACCAACTACTGATATTTATTTCCAGTGAGAACCATTTTCCTGCTGACCTTCCTCCTTTCAGAGGATGGGGATTAGGAGGCCCAAAGTACTGCTTGGTAGGAATACTTTTTTACTCTTCTTCACAGTGGAGAAAGAAGAGGGGAGGTAGTTGATGATGTCAGGTAGAACAGATTTTGTGGTGGGGAATACCATACCCAAACACAACTGAATCAGATTAGACCACAGAATTGTGATGATGGCAGTCAGAACATAGAACAGTCATCATGAAACAGCACAGTGTGAGACGTCAAGGTGTCAACCTGGGAAGTGAGAATCAAGCATGGAGTGTGGCATGGCAACCAGCTCACAGATCCAGAGTTGAGAGGGATCACTACTGCAGCAGCTTTGCTCTGATACTCTGGTAAGTAGCAGAGCCACCTTAGGAGCCCTTATTTCGTATCTCCCTTATTCTAAAGCCAGGTCAGTGATAGGTCAATTTCATTTAAGCTAACAGAGTGTAAAGGTGGGATACTTGGGAGCTCTACATTGTGCATCTGTGTGTCACAGCTGCTACTAGGAGTTACTCCTTTTCATGTCTTTTAAAATACTTTCTACTTGTCCTAAGTGCTAAATTGTCTTTCAGTTAGTTACAGCCCCTTATTTTAAAACCTGTACTGTTTTCATCCTGAATTTAGAACATAAGATTTAGCCTTTGAAGTATATAGTTTCAGACTTTCCTAATTTGTTTAATATAATCTTTATTAAATTGATAAAATGAAAGCCCAGTTGGGACTTATTCTAAACAGTGGTCTTTGATCTGAAAGTGTCTCAAATTTTGTGATCTATTAAAAACATAAACCTTTGCTTATGCAAAAGGTCTTTCTTAGAACAATCCTGTAATCTTAGAGTTCATGTAGGACTTCAGCATTATCCTCTTTTGATGTTTGGTAATAGAGGCTGAACTTTTGCTAGGGTCTCGTGTATATATAGTCAGTTATGAAGCTATAAATCTAGGACTTCTCAAAAGATTAGAACATTTCTCCAGCAAACTGACTCCGTTGAAGACTTAATTTCTGGATATACCACATTGCTTCTGCTCTCAAGAAGTCCAACATTTACTGATATATAAATATTGCTAGCTACAATGCACAGAGAAAAACTACCTCATTCAATCTAGATAATTGGGACATCCTTTTCCTGTAAACCTATTCTCCAGTATTGGACAAAATATTAAAAGGATCCGTTTGAGTACGTTAGAGTTCATGTTTCTCTAACTAATGGTGCTAATAAACTGAAATTAGATACGGTAGGTTTTTCCAAAAATACTTCTAAATAATTGAAAACCTAGAAGTCAACAATGTAAAATGCACATAGGACTCAAGTATGTTAATAAATCAGAGAAGCAGGCCAGGAACTTTTTAATAGGATAATTGTCTTTTTTAGGTACATTGTTTACATACTAACTACATGGAAATATTTTCACTCATTTACTTTCACCTATCTATGCTTTTTCTCACTTTGATGAGCTTTCTCAACTCCTTTCTCAGAAAAGCAGAGCAGAGCAGCATAGAATGCCTTAGTAAATGGCCACTGACTCTTGGTCTCAGGCCATAGTGACTATAGGGAGAGGAGTGGGGGCTGGAGACCTCATACCCTGGATAAGGTGGACATGAGTTGTCACCTCCAGTTAATTGTCACCACAGAGGGAAGAGGGTAAGTCTGAGATGTTCATGTAGAATTTCCCTACATTTCAGAGGTTGACAAAATTGTGATTTTTGCTTACATTTGCCATTCATGGAACTAAAAATTTTTTATCCTTATTTTTTGAGACAGTCTTACTCTGTTACCAAGGCTGGAGGACGCAGTGGTGAGATCTTGGCTCATTGCAACCTCTGCCTCCAGGGTTGAAGCGATTCTCCTGCCTCAGCCTCCTGAGTAGTTGGAATTACATACAGGTGCCTGCCATCACAGTCAGCTAATTTTAGTATTCTTAGTAGAGACAGGGTTTCACCATGTGGGCCAGGCTGGCCTTGAACTCCTGACCTCAAGTGATCCACCCGCCCCAGCCTCCCAAAGTGTCAGGATTACAGGCGTGAGCCACTATGCCCTGCTGGCATGCATATTTAAATTATGCATACATTATAGCTGTATAACTGTGTGACCAGATTTACTAAAAAAGGAAACAAAGTTGCTTGAAACAGGAAACTATCACCTTTGGAAGCGTATTAAGTAGTTGGCTTACTTTGGAGCACACAGTAAATTGAAAATGTGAACTAATACTTTAAAATTGCCATACAGTGATGTCACTGCAAGCCATTAATCTGTCCAATGGGAGAAAATGTAGAGGTCTAGACTGTGTTGTCACAAAATACACCTTTTAGAGAATCCTATAGCTTTACAGATTTTTATAACTATTACTATCATAAGAGAATACATCCAAAAAAAAGAATACATCATTTATCCTTTCTTTTCTGTGTATGTGTTTTTGTTGTTGTTGCTGTAGTTTTGAAAGCAGGGGAAAAACTTAAAAACACAATTATCTTCAGATTTATCCAGTTTAGTAGTTTATGCTTGTTAAGTGATCAAAGTAATTGCTTAAATGTTTGTGGAATTAGCTGTCACTTTATAGGTTTATGTATTTTGGTGGGTACTTTAATAAAAAGATTTTTGACATAATATTGTTCATAATTCATGTAAGCTACACAGATAGTTGGATTATTGTTTTGTCTAAGAAGCTAGGTTTGTATGGCATGGTAAATAAAAACTCAAACTTATAGCTTCCTTTTCTACTATTAAGCTCAATTAAAGGATAATACGTGATTAACAATATATTTATGAAAATAATTCCAAAGCAAAATTTAGAAAAATGTAAACACAAATGTAAACCTGTCAGTCAACTAGCTCCTTGAATCTTAACTCCATATTCTTTCCTCAGATGGTACTGACAAGATAGTGGATGAGAACAGCATCAGCACTTCTTTGGGGACCTTTGCCAATTCGTATTGCTTTCCTTTATTCTGATTCAAATAGAAAGTTCGCCTTTTCATCTGATACCTGCATTTGTCTGCTCACCTAGTCCTGAGCTTTTTCCCTTCTGCTTGGGCTCTTATGACTTAGTTTTTGTCATTTGCTTTATAAGGCAGTGGTATGCTTTCTCAACTTCTAATGTGTGGCATATGATAATAAGTGTTCAATAAATAGTCCCTTACTCCCTTGCTGCTTGCTTAATAACTGGAATTAACTCCCAGGAGAGTTTTCATAACCTTCCCTTGTCAGGTCTTTTCCCTTCTGATGATGATTTCTTGCTGCATAAGAGGACTGTGTTTTTCTAACAAAGATTTTTTTCTGTCTCAAATAAGAGAACATTATCTTTGAGGATGAAGGAAACAAAGCAGTTTCCACTGAATTACCATTTATCAGAGGTCTTGAACAGAACTAACTTTCCCTGATCTGACTTTAAAGGCACCTGACTCCTTCCCTAGGATGTAAATTTTTAATTACTTATCTGCCAAGGGGAACATGTTAAAATGAGAGGGATTTAACTACGCCTGTGTCACCTTGTTTAATTATAGCCTAAGTGGAAAAAGTAGACTATATTTCTCTTGTGAATAATAGAGACAGTAGATTGCCTGAGAGTGAGGAAGGGACGAGAT